CCGCATAGTGGGCACTGGAGCCGCCGCCACCGCCCTGGGCACCCGAAGAGCCTGTGGGCCAGACGGTGGGCACTGAGGGTGGCGTCACCCGTGCCTGCCCGGCCCCCCGGCCATGCGACTGCCCACACTGGCAAGGTGGCAGGCAGGCCACACGCTCCCACACCCGTGTTACCTTGGACAATGCCCGTGCTCATTATGGAGCCCATCCGCGAGTGGGTGTGATTGACAATCCCTGTGTTGGCTGCGCAGCGACAGGAAGGAAGGAAGGAAGGGAGACGCGTTACCGCCCCCAGCCTGCCAGCCCACTGGCGCTCGCGGTGGCGTGGGAGGGGCAGATGCAGCGACAGAGCGAGGCAGAGAGCAGCGCAGGGCCTGGTGGCCGAGAGTCCCAGGAGGAAGAGGTGCCAAAGGACCAAGCACTCATCAGTGAGCTGGCCACGACCCTCCCCTGCCCAGGCGGAGTCCACCCCACTCCCCAGCCCGCGGGGGACACTCACCTAAGGGAATCAGGTTGTTGTGGCCCACGCTGGAGCCGCCCGCAATAACACTGCTCAGGTCATAGGCCGTTGGCATCCCTGAGTGCAGAAAGGGGGCGTCAGCTGGGGATCCGTGTGCCCGATGGGTCCTGGCCATCACCCCAGGCCCCGGACTCACCGGCCACGGCCATGCCACTGCTGAGGTTGTAGGTGCTGCCTGTGTTCCACATGTTCTCCGAGGGTGACGTGTAGTGCGAGCCGGGCGGGGGCGAGGGTGTCGTACCCGTGTACCTGCGGCAGACGGAGTGTGGGCAGGGCCGGGTCTGCGGGGACAGGGCGACAGGGCCTGGGCGCCCCGCGTGGAGGCCTCCTACCTGAAGAAGGGGTTCTTCAGGTCCAGCAGGTTACTGGACTTGGAGCCTGTCTGGTCCACCTGGGCCACAATACTGATGTCGTAGCTCTGTCTGTGGGGCAGCGAGGCAGCGTGAGACGCTGGCCAAGGGACCCCTGCCTGCCCCAGCCCTGGCAGCAGGCTCACCTCTTATTGGCAATGAGCAGACATGTCCCTGAGAGCGTGTCCCCGGCCTTGGCGAACAGTGGTGACTGGAAGAGACACCGTACCTGGTACCAGTGGGTCAGGGGCTCCGTCGGGGCCGTGGACAGCCACACGGTCATTCTGCCGGGCAAGGACAGGCACACATTGGATTGGGCTGGCGCCACTAACTGGGCCACTAGCTGTCCCCGAGCTTGCCCCAGCGCTGGTTCCGCAGGCAGACCTGGACACGTGTGCACAGGGGATCTGTAGCTGCGGGCGCCCCCCTCACTCGAGGACCCATGAGGGTCAGGGAAGCCCCTCATCCTCACCCCACCTCTTGCTTCGGACTTGTTCCCACCAAGCAGCAGGAAGCCAGGATCTGCACCCCTCGCTCCCAGCCCTGGGTCCCAGGAGCCAGGTGGGCTGGTGGCCAGCAGGGCTTGCACTCCCACACTCACATGGAGCCGATGAAAGCGACGTCGAACCAGAAAGCCAGGCCATGGACCAGCCCCGAGTGCAGCATGTGGAATTTGAATGGGATTTCTATCCTGGAAGGCAAGGGCAGGGGTTGCTGCAGCGCAGGGAGGGCAGCGGCCCTGAGCTGAGCAGGAGCAGCCGGGTGATAGGGTGCAAGTCGCTACCTGTGCAAATCTCCTTCTTTGGCTTCTAAGAAGTTCACTGTGTACTTGACAGACTTGGCCATCAGGATCCGGATGTCAAATGTGTCCTGGGAGAGACCACAGGTTTGACCCGGCTAGTGTCATAGCCAGGGAGGAGGGGAGCCTGGTACTTCCCTCCAGCCTGGCCCTGGCTTCCAGGCGGCAGAGCTCAGCCAGTCTGCCGTGCTTGGACACACGCTGGGGAGGGAGACGGTGAGGTGACAGCTCTCAGGATGACAGGTAGCACCGATGACTCGGCCTGTATGTCACCTACAGATGGCCACATGAGTTCCACACCTCACTCAGCAGAGGCTCAGGAAGCATCTAAGTGATCTAGCAATAGCTCATCCCTAAAGCACTGTGTGTACATGGAGAAAACAAGGTTCTTTGTGATTGTGTAGGGAACGAATGATCTCCAAGACAAATGTATTAAGCAAGGTAAACCAAAAAACCAAGGTGGCAAGTTTAGGGTGCAGCTAAGGGGCAGAGCATTTGCCCAACATGCACAAGGCCCTGGGTTCCAGCCCCAGTGCCACCAAAAAATAAAAAGCAGCTGTGTGCCGACATCACTCCCAATTCTGACAATTTTACCAAAACAAAACAAAAAAAGCAAAACCAGGAAGCTGGGGTGATGGTGGCACACGTCTGCAATCCCAGCACTCAGGAGGCAGAGGCAGGAGGCCTGTGGAATTCAAGGCCAGCCTAGGGTACATAGTGAGACCCTGGCTCAAAAAAAAAAGACAATTTTACATCGGACTGACAGGTGTGCCAAGGACAAGGCAAGCTGAGTAAACCACAAAGAAAACTCAGTCAGCTGCTGACAGTACCAGGGAACAAGCCTGGAAACTAGATGCTCATCCCAGCAAGAATGAAAGTGTGCTGAGGGGAGCCCTCGCCCTGCCTTCACCCCTGGATGAGTCCTGTGAGCCGTCTCTGCAGGTGGGGACAGCAAAACGGGAACTGTGTGCCAGGCAGCTTGGGCTCTGGGGCCAGAACCAAGGAGCTGCAGAACAGGAAGGCAGACATGAGCGCAATTCATGTTTCAGGGTGGCCGACCCTTGGGCCGAGTGTGAGGTGGACCACAGGGGCCAAGACTCCAAGCGGGAAGCTTACGAGACTAAAAGCTGAGCACTGATTGGCTATGGGGAGTCCGGGGTGAGGCACCCTGAGAACTCTGGTCTCTTTCCAGACTTGTGAGGGTTGAGGGTGAAGCCCAGTGAGAGAGCACCTGCCTAGCACATGCACAGCCCTGGGTTCCATCCCCAGTACCACAAAAAAAGAACCCAAATCCCAAAGAGCACTCACTACTGCAGGCCAGCCCTACACAGCCCTCCAAGTGTAGTCCTGTCCAGAGTCCCCTAAAAGGTCAAGACCACGTTCATGATGATGATAAAAAGGTCTTTTTGCCTTTTTTTTTTATAATGTCTTTTTTTTTGGTACTGAGGGTCAAACAGGACCTTGCACTTGCCTGGCAGGTGTGGCACCACTGAGCTACATCCCTGAACCTGCATTTTTTTTTTAAAGGGAGTGTCTGCGTACCACAGGCTAGCCTCAAATTCACCAAAGTTCTCTTGCCTCTGCCTCCCGAATGCTGGAAATACGTATGTATCACCATGCTGCACTGTTTTCTGCTTGTCTATGATACACAGCAGACTGAAGGCAGAAGCAGAGCCCAGCTGTCCTGTACTGAGCCAGGCATTAGACTTGCAAACTAAATGACACTATTTTCACTCATTTTATTTGAAGTTTCATCTTAAAAAATACTATTGATGTCAATGTGTAATGGGTTGTATTATTATTTTCTTTTCTTT